TAAATGTTTTGTACATGTATTGATGGTTCTCAGAGAATGAATCCCACTGACTTTGGTGATACTCTTACTCTTCGTCTAGTGCCACCAGTGGGCCAGACTTTTCACTCATCCAGTGAAATATTGCAACAGCTACTAGATGGATTAGGAACCATAAATGTCTGCACTACATTTTGTGCCATACTAATGATTTGGTTGATTCCCTGACTTTGGTGCCACAGTGAGGCTGACATTTGGAGTGAAAAGTCTCCATAATTTATTGGATGGATTGCCATGAAATTCTATACAGACAGTGAACTCTCACTTTTAAAGTAAGTAAAATATAGAACACAGTGTTTTGCATATTTGCTGCCTGTTCTGATGTTCCCAGATGTGAACAGGCAATATGTGAGTTGGCAACAGCAGCGCTACAGGCTGTTCCCTACAGGTATCCAGATGACTCACCTGTTTATCTCCATTCAGTTGCTTTTCCATTTGCTGTTCAGGAACATTTTCTTTGGCCTCAGTCTCCTGAACGTTCACTTTGGGGCCAGGTGAAGCTGGCTGCTTAGCTCACAGCTCATTCCACCGTCATAGCAGTAAAACTCCTGTTAAAACTTGTCCGACTGATTCTACAGCACCGCCTGCACTCCTATCTGAAGAGTTAAATACCCCTCTAGGGAACAGGCATTGAAGAACATAGAGATTTTAGAGATGATTGTGTGATATGAGCGTCAAAATAAACACACAGCTGTTGCCTGAATCTTTTAGAGCTGTTAATATCCGTTTTGGAATTCGTGACTCTGCAGGGTAAAATGTAGTCCTCTGATAGCACTTACTACATACTGTGTAGATATTCCATCTGGTGATTGCTACTGTACATATGCATATATATATTTAGGTAACTTTGGCTGTGACGTTCTAATAAATTATCAATCTGATCAATGTGTGACATGCAGCAAGGGCACCTGTAGCTCCAAACACCAGACCAGCATGAATCAAAGAGATGTGGTTTTCTTTTGAGATTCAACATAATGTTTTTCTGATGCCATGGATGTTTCTTTAAGCCACATGGAGACAAGGGGAGGATCTGCACTATGCCAGATCATACCGCCTCTCTGGACTGTTTGAGTTTGTACAGATTTGTCATTATTAACGTCAACCTCATCGTCCTGTTAATTTAGTTGCATCTGTTAAGAAAGACAACTTACTCTGTTACTATCTTCATTATTTTTTATTATTATTACAATAACTCTACCCCACTTTAACCTGAGCAGAGGTCTAATCGGCCGGAATAAGTGCAAACACCTGCGCAGGTGAACAAGGGCTTGTGTGTGTGTACAATGTATAAACCCAACAAATGTTAAAAATTAAGTCGAATTGAGGATCTCTCCGTTTCATCAGATATATAATGACATGCAGGAGGCGGTTGCAAGGTTGAAAATATATTTATCATAGTAACTCTAGTGGGAGGAAAATGTTAACATAGATAACTTCTTGTCTTGTCAGTTTCACCTAAACATGACTGAGGAAGGAAATTCATGTATGATGTACAGTTATCAACGACTTGTCTCAACAAAAGCCAGACAATCACTTGACATATTTGAGATTAAATTCCTAGAATTGCTTTATCAGACAGCTGCAAAAAAAAAATCTTTCTCTTTGTAATTTTATTTTCAGTTGCTCAAAGGCGTGTTGACAACTTTAAAACTAACAGTAGAAAGAACTGACAACAAAATCTCACAATTGTGTCTCTCACAGTGCATTCAAGGTGAGGTGATCCTTTTGATTACAAAAAAAAACACGTGAACCGCTTCAACATCTTTTTTTGTTTCCAATGTGGCTGGACCGGTATCATTGCGTACAGGCTTTGTTTTAACCGGTTGCATTTATGACAAAGTGTTGCAGACAAAAGCTGCTTGCACATGGTACTGTGCCCACATTACGTTTGAGAAGATGAAAAAGGGAAACCAGCCAAAATACTTTACCTATCCCTGGCTTACTCTAACCCTAACTCTCTGTCAAAACAACCCACAGATTGCAACTGTGTCTGTCACTAAGACATGCAGGGATCAGGCTCCATGGTTTGGCAAAGAGTTGCTTGGACAAACCCTACCAGACCTACAAAGTATATATTGTACTATGATTTCAAAGTGGTTGTATTGCACAGGCAGCACCAAAGTGTATACAAGTAACTCTGTCTGTCTGTCAAAACAACCACGCAATCGTTCATGTTCACAGAAGCGTAGGCTGCACGGCCTCCAAGAAACCCTATCATCCACAATCGCAGCTTTTTGCAAGTTAACTGACCTGTTAACAGATGGCTTATCAACATATGTCTTGGGATAGGGGAGATGCATATCTCTACAAAAACGCAACTTCCTTTTATGAAATGGTTTGTCTTCTGTTCTCTTAGACTGTAGTTTTTTGCCCGGTTTGGAGATAACCAAGGTAGAAAATGAAATAATATTGAGTATAATCCTGGAGAGAATGAGGTGACTTGTCTGTAACATGATGAAATACAAGTGTTATAATAGGGCAGTGCCTTTTTAAAAGGATTTTAAATACAATAACTTGCATAATTGAAGGGGAAAGTACACTTAAAATATCAAAAAATTAGAAAATGATTTCATTAATTCAGAAAAACAGAGCATGGATGCATTAACCCTTTGTGCTGGGATAGCAAAATTGCTCTCCTTCTTCTCAGTGTCAAAACATGGTCACTTCTGAACACAGACATGATACTAATACTCTTAAGCTGATGATACACGGGGCAACTTCTTGAGCAATGTTGCTGGGCAATCTTGCTAGCGGCAAGTCCGACTATGTTTTGAATTTTCATTGCCATTACCACTGACAACAACGTTGCCCTGCACGATTGCTCTAAAAGTTGCTCTGCGTATCATCAGATTTAGATTTAGAGTGACTTTTTTAGAGTGATTTCAATATTTCTGTTTATTGAAGATAAACATTCGTATGTTTGGAAATAAATGGTAAATGCAGAACAAAGACACTTCTTGTAAGTAGCTACAAAACATTACTAAAAATCACACATCTGGAAGTTTTTGTCACTATCATAAATAATCCACTGTTAGTTATCTACCCCCACAAGCATTCACTGCTAACAGCCTATTCAGCATGATTTTTCATGGTCCAAATCCTACATACGTAGTTTACGTTACATCAGACACCGGAGCTTAAAGGCCTGTTTCACTGTTCTGAAACAGTGATGTTCAAACTGTGTCGAAGCTTGTTTCAAACACCAAAAGTAAAGTTTGATTTCACAGAGCCCGTGGGTGGTTTGAAACTGATCTGAACCAGTTGTTAGAAAGTTCGCTGAGTCACACACAGATTGCGGGTTGTGGAGAGTTGTCATCAGCAATTGCACCAAGCACAGTTAGTGTTATAAACCAATATTTGGTGGCTGATAGCCGATATAAAACGTGTAACTAGCTATATCTTTCCAGTTACACAGCGTGTCCGTGAGCATTTCACTGTCTTGTGAAACCAGTCCTGCTCTTAAACTGCACACAGACATCTGAAGAGCAAATGACTCAGCTTGCTCGCCGACCATTGATTCTCTGTGTGGGAGGCAAAACCATTTTTTCTTTTTCAACATTCATTCAGAAATTGTCCCTGTTTGTATTACCAACTGCCTTACCAACATGTCACAGCACCGCCTGGGAAGGGAACACACAAACTATTCAATAATTATTCTTCGGTACCTTTTACCTTTGTCAATTTACCTTTGAGGTTGTGGCAGGTCTTGTTCCCTGTATATGTGTAGCATTTTAACATAAAAAATCACATAAATTTAGGAGACAAAGAGGTACAAAAGTGTGACCCCTGTCAAAATGATGCAGCGAACTGATACATGATGGTGATCTGACGTTGTCGTGCGGGTTGCCAAATTACAAAACAGCAAAGTTGTATACTTTATTGCATTTATGTGGTGTGTGTCTGTCTCGGTCTCCATCTGATCCAACGACTGACGCTGTGTGTGTTAATGATTGGCCTGATCATGACAGTGTGAAGCCAATAAACCCATTTAGAGCAAACGGCAAAGACAGAAAGTTTCACTCAGAGCCAACACACACACACACACACACACACACACACAATAAGAATATTTGAATTTATGACTTTGTTCATGCACTTTATTCTGTTTTATTAACCTAGTTTGATCTCAGTTAAAGGATCCCGTGTAAACCTAGATAGTTTCCTCTTTGTGAATATAAGGTCAGTAACTTTTAAAGTGAGTAATTAACATTTAAAGATGAGCTAGTTATAACTTTTTACTAGTTGCAACTTTACCTCTGCTGACCCTCTCATACCTGAGTTGGATGTTTCTGGCTCTTATTCCTCTTATTCCTCACTGGTGGGATTCCTTCAGTTGTCCTCCCATTATCTGTTCCAGCGCGCCCTCTTGTGGAGGACATTTCAACTTGCACGTGTGTTGTGTCACACTTTACTTCTACTGAGACAACCTTCAGCCCAGTATGGTATTATTTGCAATGCAATAAAAAGTAGAATATTAATGTGTCAGCCTACCATAATCATCATCATCATAATATAAACAAAAATCAACTTGACCTTTAGTGCTTTTAATCTACTAAACATCAGCATGTCATTGCTATTTTTCATTGTTTGCACTGTTGTTGCTACAGACTCAGAGAGCTGCTAGAATGGCTGTCTGTTGTAAATGTTTACATACAAACGAGAACACTTTACAAATACAAGTAGAGGTATTCCCTTCTTGTCTCGTGTTTTTAAAATGTCTTCTAACAAATCTGTAATAATTCCCTGATGTAAAAATACTGCCTTCCTGATTTTTATTTTTTGTTGTTGGACAGAAATAAAAAACAAAACAAAAACATTTTTCATTACATGGTAAAAATCTATTATATTTATTTTCCCAGGTATTTATTTTATTGACATTTGACTTTTTACCTCTTCCATAACACTGATGAACCGCTGGAGGGAGCATCACCAAAATATAATAAACAACACAGAGACACCAGGCATTAAATTGCACCAAAAACATTTTTTTATTCTATAAAAGAAGAAGGGAGAAAGGGGGAAATAATCACAACTGTACAGGGAGAAACCGACTTTTAAACACTATGAGTCACAGTATCAAAAAGCTCACGTTTTCCTCACTGATCTTTACACATTTGTTCTGTACAAATACAAAAAAAAAGAGAAAAAAATATTATTAATAATGTATTATTATAATGATAACTGCATTGCACTGAGTAAATATAGTACTGGCCCATAAGTTACTGCATTCAATAGAAAATACCTAAAATTTCTGTTTTGTAGAGGAAGTGATTGGTGGTGAGTCGAGGCACTCGCACACAGACGGACACAGTCAGTGACATCACCCTCAGACATGAACTCTTTCCTGTTAAGGTCTCAATGGGGATAAAATTCTTTAAATGTTTCACAGCCTGTTCACAGATGAACATTCCTGCTTCATACATGAACAGAAGATTTAGAAGAATACCGAGGGAAAACAAGCTTGCACAAAACCGCAAAAATAAACAACAGGAAGCAGGAAAAACACAAACACATGCATCAGCCTCCCTGCAAGAACTGCAACACAGCGATAAGACTTTGTCTGGGTAATCGTCAACAAGCTCTGAGATGCAAAATCTGACTATCCTCAGTGTGACACTGAAGGTTTTAGTGTGTGTTTGTCTCGGTCTGTGTGTATAAAATACCAATTTTGCTGCTAAAATGGTCACCAGAGATGATCAATGTGCTTGTAAAGCGATGGGTCAATATCGTTTTCAGACACATAATGACACATACATGTGCTTCACGGGGTGAAGGCTCCAAGAAATAAAGGGGCTTGGGATCCATCTAATTAAATACAAACATTTTCCCCCACATTATATTAAAAACAAACATATGTTTAACCTCTAGCTTTGATCTTATTTTTTTGCAGGTTTCGATATGAATGACTGATTTTTGGTATTTTAAGGATTGAGAAATGTCTCTAAAATGTTAAACAGCAACATGTCTTTACAAAAACAATTTCCTGAATCCTGATAATATTCCACAGATGCCACTGTCTTTGAGTTTTCATTTGCACTCTACTGAAGAAATTACCATGAAAACTGTGTATGAGAGTGCATTCTTGACCTTGGAAATAATTATAAAATAATCTTAACTAACAGTCCACTTATTAACTTTTGGATGAGATTGTCAGTGAACGGCTGGAAAAACATCAAGAAGGCCGTTTGCACCTAAACAAAAACAGAGGCTATAACCCCCTCCTATATAATATGGAATATGATAAACATGCTATCACATGTCCAAAGTTTCATACTTTGGTGAAGTGATGACAACTGAGCAAACTCCAATCTGCTGCAAATGCTAGTAAGTGGACCTTGAGTTAAAGTGTGATTTATAGGCCACTTCTGCGTTGAATCGATGGCGTAGCCTACCCGTGACCCCGTGCCCTACCCAGTAGCCAACGCCATAGCCTGCACCTCCTCAAAAATGTAACTACAAGTCAAGGCGACACAGACCGCATGAACTGTGATTGGTCAGCTGGGTAGCCTTGCAATGCCTCCGAGCCGACAGGAAGTGCTCCGTGCTTCAAAAGAAATTTTACTAGCGGCCAAACCAGCGGTTGTAACGCGGTGGATCAATATATTTGAGCTTTACAAATACATGTAGTAGACCCGACGCAGAAGTATAAATCACGTTTTAAGCTTTAAGATTATTTCATCAAACCTGGATTGTCCGTTTTTTCAGTGCTGCAAGAACCACAAAAAAAATCCATTCACCTCCACTGTATTGTGTTGAAGGCAGAAATTTCAGATTTCACAAAACCTAAATGAAAAATGCCTAAACTAGCCACAGCAAGGTGCCACTGCAGATGAGCTTCTTTTTAAGTTATTGGTAGGAAAATGTAACCTGTACTACGAAGCATGTTCAACATACCTTTTCCTTATCTGGCTTCGCTAACCCTAACAATTGCGATCATGATAAGCGGTCACAGGATGCCATTTGTCAACTCGGTGAATCAACCCAGGGTTTCCCAATCGCATGAAAGGGGGCAGTGTTTGCATGACCGATTGCAAACGTGGACAAGTCTAATCGCAGGAGAGCGACATATTTTACAAAGGAACAGCAAACTATAATATTAGACAAATACGAAGACGTTAAACATATAAAGCAGGCTAAAAGCAACACAGCTACAACTGCCACATGCAGGAAGGACAGCTGGCAAAAATTTAAAGTTAACATCCTTATAATGTCACTTTAGGGCACCATAAGGCCACGAATAGATCAGACTATAATTACATTGTGTATTCCGTTAAATTAATGTGTTGCTTCTCCTCACTTCAAAAATCAGATTCATTTATTTAATGTACTCAAAAATGTTCCAAACATTGTTCTAAACTAACTTCAAAAGGCAACAAAAATCATTTGTGCCATAAAAAGTGCTTAAATAGCGGTCGAGAGACTGAATCTCAACCAAGGCACAGTCCCCAACATTTACTGAAAACCCATCTACTACCTGCGCCCAAATAGCAAAAGACATGACGTGTCTCTATAATAGGCCTATAGGAAATAAAATGCAAGCTAAAATTATAATAAAATGTTAATTAAACTTAATTTGAATACCAAAATATATGCTCATAATATTTAGCAACATAAAAGGCTATATGAAACCCACTTGGGAGCAAATAAAAAATAAATATAAAAACACATTTTAAAGTGGTAAGTAGGCTTATTGTTATATCTTATAAGTACAACAAGTACAAGGCTTTAGAGCTTCAATAAGTCTCTGTTGTGTGACGATATCGGTATACAAATGTTTCTCTGCATCACCCACAGCATAAAAGTAGCCTTTAAACAGTCAACAGAAAATCCAGGAGTTAAAGCTGAAGTTACCTCGCTAATGTCAAATCCTGCTCCGTAGTACAGGCCTCTGAGCTGTTTCACAATTGATCAAATCAACCTTGGGTCCTTGCTCCAAAGGAATAAGTCCCGTCTCCTTTTTCAATGGGTTTTCTGAGAGAGGAATGAATTTTTCAGCTGAAACACGCTCTTGGTTTTTCTGTCTTTATTCTGAGCTAAATGGGCATCTGCTTCTCTAATCGAGAGAAAAATGTGAATCTTAATTTCAGCCAAGATAAATGTTATTTTGTTAGCTTTCAACAATAACATATCCCATGAGCCTTAGCAGCTGATATGCAGTCAGTCTTGTGCGATAAGTTCTTGTTGATGTCGTTTTATCCTGAAATGGTATCTACTGAACTGGCGACCTGTCCAGGGTGTACCCCGCCTTTCGCCCGATGTCAGCTGGGATTGGCTCCAGCCCCCCCCCCCCGCGACCCTGTACGCAGGATAAGCGGTTGACGATGGATGGATGGATGGATGGTGTCTACTGATTATATATCATTTATTTTAGATCACCAGTCAGCAAGAGTTTTAGCATGTGGCACCTGTGCGAACTATCAACCAATTACCCATGAATGATTTTGGTTATTATGTAAAAATTTGACTCCTTCAGTACAATATTAAAATATATTAGCATATTCTAATTGTCTATTTTACATCGGGGAAACTTTGCTGCAATAAAAGGTCAAACTGGATTTCTGTAGTAGACAATAGGTTGTCCCTGTTTTTTGTAATAAAGCAAGGTGTATAACAGGTTGGACATGTTTGTATCTACTACTTTTGTTACTTTTTAACATGATTACTCAGTGTAAACTAGCAATCAAACATATAAATTTTAAGCCCCATATGACCCGAAATGTCTGAATACACTTTGAGCTTCATTGTAAAAAATATTTTCTCACCCAAAACAACAGTTACATTTTTGGGGGGATATTTTAAATGAGAAATAGGCTGAGAAATATAAAGCTCTGTTATAATAAATGAATCCCTAATTAATCATTTTCAGTGTGCCCCGCCGCCCCCCTTCAGATCATCAATGTTAAGCAAAACCCAACGTCTCACACACACTGACATGCTCACCAACATCACTATAAGAAAACAAGAAGGCTAGTCTCCATGCGACAAGTGTGCACAACACAAGCGGGACCATTTTTTTTAAAGAAACTACGAAACAAATGTATTAGATTTGAACAAAAAACACACAATGAAACACATCATCAAACCAACAAAGGAAGAAGAAAAACAATTTTTTCACATTATCTAGTCAGTGTTAAAAATAGAAATTCACCCGTTACATTTACTCTGCACTTTTTGATTATATACATTTATGTACATGGATTTATCTTAATTATCTGTCATTGTCCTTAATGTCTTTATCAACAGTTTACAAAAGAAAGAAAATTGCAATCAAATGCATATACTCTTCTAGAAAGATGTGCTTAGTAACTATGTTTTTTTTAAGTTGAAGCAGAAGGGGATGTTAAGAGAAATGGGAACATCGCTCTGCACTGCAAAAAAATCCCTCCAAACAAGTAACTGAATTTGGTTCAGATTCTTCTTTAACAAAACATTAAAATAAAAAAAAGTCTAAAACCAGATTCAGTCACTTTAGCAAGACGGATATTTTTGTTTTTTTGCAGTGTGCAGACCAAACAACAATCTACCCCGTTCATGGCATGCACTCAGCTCAAAGGAAGCCTCCATGTCCATCTCACTTATCATACTATGAAAAGTCAGGTGTATAACATTTTGCTCTCGCTTACTAGCTTTTGAAATGACAACGACAGTAACTCCAAATGACTAACGAGAACAGCATCGCAAAAGCAAAATGTGTCTTGCCTTTTTGTTTGTAAAGGGACACGTCAGGATTGTGAAAAGTGTGTTCTATTGATCACATACGCAGCCCCCTGTTTGCTTAAGATCACCCTACCCAAGTTTGAGTTCCTGTCCATGTTTCTGACTCAATTGACAGTCACAACTCGTATTGTCTATTTCTGAAAGCAGTTTCAGTGGTGGCTTTGTTCAGTGATCGACAACACAGGAATCTACGCATCCTGACCTCCCTTTTTCAGGTTCTTGTTACAACCTATGTGAGCTGTACATCAGCAGTACACCTACCAGCTAATGCTCTACTACTTCAGTTCAGAACAGCGCTTGGAGTGAGGTCTGCGTTATGTTGCATAATCAAGTTCAGTCCAGTATAGGAGCTGACAAACAGCCCACATAAGACATGGACAACGTGGGTTAGAAGGCAGGGTTAGGGGTTCAATTCTGTTCCGACTGGCTAAATCTCTTAAAAAACGTGCTGATTACATTTGGATATATCAGGGGAGCTATGCCAGGAAGGTCTTAGAAAAGGCATAAAACAAAATTCTCTGTTAGAATATATTGGGAGTTAGCTTTTTGATTAAATTCTGTTGAAAACAAACACAGTTGAAAGAGAATTGACCCCGACCCTGGTAGAAATGCTAGTGAGGAGAGCGCTTAGTTTCCCCATGGTTTAAACCGCAGGCACTACGGACCCTGACAGCCCGACACAGTGCCTGGTTTCTCCCAGAACCACTGACAGACGGCCTGGTCACTGTGACTTTCAGTGGCAGCCATGTTGGCTCCTTGGCTCACTGCTCCATGGCTAGAGTGCAAATGCCATTTACACTGTTGGGTGTTACAGCATGATAGTTATAAATGGCTGATGTTGCCAACTCTGATAATGAGTAGTTTTGTTTTAAAAAATTAAAAATATTTGTAGTGGTACACAAATGAGACTGTCACTGCTTCAATATTTATCTTCTGCTATCATCAAACATTCTAAAAGCTTTACATCTGCTTGCTCTGAAGGGCCCCTCTTCATGTTTTGTGCCAAAAAAATCAATCCACCAGATTTCCGACTATAACTGCATCCCAGCAACAGTCTTGTCTGTTAATGTAAATTTTAACTTCTTGTTGTATTAATACTTAAAAACAAGCTAAGCTCTCACAGCTGTGAGGAATGTCCTTTTCACAGAAAGCAATGATAAAAACAAGCCAACGCTGCAAAGATCGGGTACTTGTGGTACAGTGTTATGTCCTTAATGAATGGAGACTCACAGCTGATCTTTGGCCAAGCGTCCTCTATCAGTGGTTCTGGTTTCGCCCTTACAGATTGACTTCAGTTATTAAGGCTCAACGGGCAAGAGGTAAAACAACAACAAGTGCCCGGAACACACACTCGTAAAAATCTTAAATTCTGATTATGTGTTTGTCTCAAAACATGCACACTCACCCGCACATACACACACACAAACAACACACGCAAAAATACACTCCCCTATTCCCTGCGTGAGAGTTTTACTTGTAATCTCAAACTATTTGTATCTCCTCAGTCTTTTTCACAGCCTCAGAACACAACAAAAGGATCTGAAATCCTAAAAAAAACAACAACAACAACAACAACAACAAAACGGTGCCATTCTGTTAAGAGTGCCAAACCTGGCAAAGAAGAAAAAAAAAATAACACAGAACTGAAGGCCTTTTTTTTTCATAAAACACCAGCAACAACGACGCATAAAAAGCAAATACTGTTATCGAAGAAGAATTAGAAAGGTGTGTGCTGGGGGAGAACACGCAAATGACAATAATGTGATTGATACAATGAAAACAAATTAATCTTTATAAAGTTCACAGTCTTGAAGCTCCCTGTACCAGGTGAGGGGGTTGGGGCTGCCGAGGTGCAAAGGAGATGGGGCGAGGGGACAAAATAACCTACTTTAAGAGAGAGAAGAAATATATTGTTTGACGTCACTTCAGCTGCTGTGAAATAGCACGTACACACACACACACACACACACACACACACTCATACACTGATGTGCACAGGGTTGGGAAGCCTTTACTTTCAAGGGCCATTACAGTTTAGTAAAAAATTTATCCAAATATTGTGATTACTAATTAAATTAATCCAACTGTCGGTTGTTTTAGACCCTTTTCCAAACATTACCAGGAACTCTGTCCCTTTTGCACATTTCCACTGCATCTGGAAAACCAAAAAGGATTTTGAATTTTGCACGTGATGAAACACCAGAATCATCGTGTTGGTCTTTGTAGTGATGTTTGACTGGAGTTTGCAAAGGTGTTTTGTGGTTATTTATTTCTGCTACACCCACATAGCAAGCACTTAATGGAGGACAGGGACTTTTTTGGGGCTTAGGAACTAAGATCAGAAACTGAATTTTAATACTTTTCTGGCACCAACTGAAATGTGTCCATAGCACTGATTGTGTATCAAACCTTTCTAGTCTTAATTACCTATTCTTTGATCAGACAGCTCCTGATTTAGATTTTGCCCTAGTTCCTCATGTCAAAATGGTACGAGCAGAGAGAAAGGTAAAGTTCTCGAGTCTCTCAAAAGGTTCCTGGAAAAGTTCCTGTGGTGAAAAGGGGCTATATGAGGTATTTTTGGAAGTGACCATTGCTTCCAAAAATCCTTTATATGGAATTTTGCTTTGGAGTCACGTAACTTCCCAACTCTGGATATGTACATATTCATACTGTTAAAAAACAAAAAAATGTGCAGCTGAAGTGACATCCGGCTTAAGACTCCCTTTCTGGTTTGAGTTCAAAGACAACACACACACGTCACTCCTCATTCCTCCTCTCCTTTGGATGAATGGATGGATGCATGTGATGGATGGATGAACGTCCCTGCTGATGGATGTCCTTCAGTCCATCCTTCTCTTTCTTAGGAGGTGACGTTTTGTGTGACAGGTGAGGTTGAGTTAAGGAGGATGGGTAGGGGACTGTTTTGTGGTGGGAATGCTGTTGGGTGGACGGTGATGATGATGACGATTATGTGTTGAAACACACACGGTAAAACTCCACCGCGCACACACACAACCACACAAACACATTCCTGATATTCCTGTGATTTCAAGATGAAGAGGAGAAGGAGGAAGGAGGTACAGTGTCTTTATTTATCTGCTGATAGGGTTTAAAATCCTAGGAAGTAGAGATTCGTGTGAGGTGGAGGGTACTGGTACAAAATGTGCTGTGAGGGACTTTGAGATGTTGAGGGGTAAGAGGTTGGTTTATAGGGCAGGTTTGTGGGGAGTTGTGGGTGTCAGAGTTCACATCATTACGTGGCGGCGGCGGTGCAGGGAGAGGTGGTCGGACCGGGAGAAGGAGCGGTCGCACTCGGTGCAGCGGAAAGGTTTGATCCCCGTGTGCTTGCGAAAGTGTCGAGTCAGCTCATCGGAGCGGGCGAAGCGCCAGGTGCAGCCCTCCCAGGTACAGTGGTAGGGCTTCTCTCCTTAAGGAAGCAGGAAACAAGGAGAAGAGTGAGGAGAGAGGAAAGAATGGAAGGAAGCAACACAAGGAAGATGAAGGTTGGGACACTGGTGGAAACAAAAAAGCATGAATGATTTACTGGGGAAAAATCTCACAACCCCGGTTATCCTACTTCAGTTAGTTATTTCCCAAAACTCCCAATTTAGCTAAGTGAAATTAGTCTCAGCCTATTCTACAAAGAATTTCTCACTGTATGATTATTTATTGTTAGTAGAAAATTATGAATATATATAAGATATATTACTATAAAGAAGCATTTGGTTGTTGTTTGTTTTGTTCAGGTCTCACCTGTGTGTATTCTCCTGTGGGCTTTGAGGTGGGAACTCTTGGTGTAAACTTTTTTACAGCCTTCATAGTCACACATGTGGATCCGCCTCCTCTTGATGTCTGGTGAATCTGGATCGACAGGCTCTAAGTCCATAACCGACCTGAGAAAGGAAAATGAGTGAGTGACCCCGATCGAGACACTTAACGGGAACAACTTTCTGGGAGATTGTCCTGTTTCCAAAAAAATATCCCTTTGAGCTTTGGACACGCCATCTTAAAGCTTTAAAATACATTATGTTGAGACCAACGAAGGTTAAAGTCAAGGTCAACTGGACTTGGTTGAAGATACTGGAAGACGTTTCATCCCTCATCCAAGGGACGTGCAAATCTCACATGTAACTTGAAGACCACATTTTGTATGAATATGAGAATCAAAGCCTGGCTGTAGCCATTAATTAATTTGTCCAACAGTGAGCACTGACATGTTTATATCTCAATGTTGTGAAATGTCCAGCTCAGTACATATGTTGGTCACGATTAGTTATAAAACAAATTTAAGGGATCCTCATCTAAAAGGTTTATTCATCGGCCAATCTGTTGTTATTTCATTTATTGAAGTCTCAGATGTTGGTACTATTATTGGCTGGCCCTAGTAAGAATGTAAGTGTAGTGAAAAAAACAGGAACATGTGTTTGCAAATTGCCATTTAAACTGTCAATCTAGGTTGAAGTTAATTTTGTTAATTAATATGTAAAATGTCAAATCTGAACCAGTTTTTCCTTTTATGACCTGTAGTACTAAATTCATGTGATGTGTTTCATCAGTGCCCAACAGAGAAACTGCCTATCATCAGGTTCAGGTTCATTTGAAAGTGATAATTGGGCCACTGGGTGGCGTCAGAGAGTTGCACTGTGTTCAACACAGCTTCCACTTAAGCATTACTGTATCTCTCTCATTTATTCCTTCCTATCTTCACACCCTTCAGTTTTTTACTCCCCTCTTCCCTCCATCAAAAGAGGATCTGACAAACTAAACCCATCCACTCTTTATTTCTCCATTTCATTCTCCTTCTGTGTCTCTCCCTCCTCCCTTATTTACTAAACTTATATTCTGAAGTCAGGTCTGTAATGTGATGTTCTGATTTAATTCAATAGTTTTAATATTCATTTGATCATTCTGATGTAAATAAAGTTGATTTAAAAAAAAAAAAAGGAAGTGTGACGACAAACTGAATTACGAAACCATGTTTACACCCCAGTTCTGGGACAGCCCTGCCCAGCAACACACACACACACGCCTGCACTCATGCATGCGAGCACACGCACACACACACACACACACACACACACACACACACACACACAAGCAAGCTCACAAACAATCTTCCTTAAAAAAAACAACCCACAAACACACTTGTTCACTTTGTTTCTCTCTGTCTCTCTCTCTCCCTCTCTCTCACACACACACACAGAGCAGATTACAGCACTAAGCTAACCGTCGGCGTCCACACCCGGAATTTCAGTTACAGTCAGGCGGCCTCGCCCACTGGGTGTGGCAGGAGTCCTGATTTACTAATGAACACACAGGATGGACACACACACTCACACAAACACTACTACAGTATTACTGTACTAAGAGCCTTCACTGGCACAGTAGCCTTCACTCTGCAGCTTTGTAACAACCTTTCATATGTCCACACTTTCCTTGAGAGGACCAAATGTCCTCAGCTGTGAAGTGTGTACTGGGTGTGCACACACACACACAAACACACGTTTCCCTGTGATACAGCCAAGGTGTCTCCAGTGGGTTCTGCTGTACAGAGGGTTATATAAGGTTATATAAGTGTCCAGTCATGACAGCGCTGCAGTAATGTAATTAGTCAGGAGGCTGCAGGGGAGGGAGGTGATCCACATAAAGACTGCATTTCCCAGAAACCCTGCTGCGCGTTATTGTCTCTTTCGCTGAGCCTGCCGTCTCGTATCATGGACTTTACACTGAGATTACATCACGCATGGTTTATGGTATTTGTGTCCTGTCAACAGTTTGATAATGGAGCTCTACGGAGAAGCACATACGACGCAACATCGTCAGAAGATTAACATCAGAATAACATTTTTGGAAATATCCTTATCAGCTTTCTTTCCGAGAGTGAGATTAGAAATGTGACTAGACATGTGCCTTCTTCTAAAACCTTTGGTAGGTGGTAAAAGTATTTTAATGTTGTCAAACCCTGTTTTGTTTACAACAACTAGCAGTCTTCTTCTGTTTGTTTAATGAATGATGGTACTGTTTAAGGCGCATTACTGTGACGCGCTGCCCATGTGTGCTGTAATAAACTGAGTGATAGACCTGTTGTCTGGTATTTAGTAGATACAGACTTCCAGCTAAGCAGCAGTTTTATTTAGCAACACGTCAAAACTTGACTTGTAGGCCCAGAAAGCAACTGATGAAATGTTTCAACCCACAGTTAAAATGTATCACTGATATTAACAGGACTGATCAACTGAATATTTTAGAGTCAAAACATATAACAGTAAACTCAGCTGTAGATAAGGATAGTTTGTTACGTGCTCAAACTAAAGAACTTTCTAGAACTAAATCTTTAAATCTACTCAAATCATTGCAGGTCTACAACCCTCCATACATATGCATTGCCATCCTCTGCATTTGCACCGATATAGACAACATCCCTTACATGCTAATGCACAGGCTGGTAGAGAACAAGCTTCAAACAAAACAGAGCCATGCTCAATGAACCCTGAGGAGGACAATCACACAGATCCCCAGGTCTGAATGGCTAAGATACATTTTACCGCAAAAGATGGGCAAAGCTGTTTAGAAACTTACAGGAAATGCAGCTTTTCTGATCCATTTCCTCAAATGTGTTTGAGTGTGTCCCATTGCCATGTCTGGATATTTAATGATTGTACGTAAACTCACACAGGTGTGGCTGGACTCACCCGGCGTCGAGGCTCTGGGCGCTGAGGGAGGCCGATCCGGACTCTGTGCCGCTCTCTGCATCGCTGTCACTCTGATACTCCACCGGAGACGTTGAACCTGGCTTAATACGAACTGCAGAGAGGACAGGGTGGGGGAATGACATTAGGAGGATGAACAGGAAGAGGGAAACAGTGGCACCAACACAAAGGGAAGAATATTGAAAAGCAAACAGATGGAAGGTAGGATGGAAATAAATTCAGGAAGGGTGACGGAGAGCATGAGAGGCACAGAGAAAGAGATAAATTAGTGAAATGGAAGAAGCAAAACAGGGAGAATAGAGGAAGAAGAGGAGGGGTGGAAACAGACAGAAGAGAACAGCAGGGGGTTAAAAACTTCTTAACAGTGATGCCTGGATTACAGCAATTTAGCAAGACAAAGACTTCCAAGTGTGCGTGTGTGTTTGTTTAGGTGTGGTCTGCTAGGCTGCAGAATTGATGGATCAAATTTGTGGCCAAACCCCATGCTGGATTTCTCTGCACGTCTCCTCATTTCTACATCTTTCACAAAAAAAATGTTTTAGCGTTCACTTTCTGTTAACAGAAAAGGTCTTTCTTTCTTTCACTCCCATTTCAACAACCTTCTTTTCCAATGTCAAAGCAAGAGAAGGACAATGTGAACAGATGTTAATGAAAAAGTATTCTGTAGAACTCAATGACAATGCTAATTAGCAATTAACTGAAAGACAATTCTCTCGAGGCTATCAAAAGCCTCTGCTGGTTGTCCTCAAGTTTCTGCGAGCTTTCTGGGTTTTCACTGAGGAGGACAGTCCTTCAAGTTTTAATTCTTGACAGCTGAGAGTAATTGCTCGTAAGATATGGATTTGGACATTTAAATTCAGGTCTGCATGAGCAATTGTGCAGAAGGGACATGACCAGTTCCTACACTAACGTTTAATATTTTAAGCTGTTCCAATCAATAGTTTTATACAAACAATCAAATGATTTCACCTAGTGTGTGGAAGATGTCACTCAGAGTGAACGAACCCACAGATAAATTATCAGCCTACTCTGAAGTTCTCCTCTGTCAAATAATCTGTGTCCGGACCAGACAGCAGCGCTAATTTATTTAGTCCATTGGTATATTACCCTCACTCTCTCTCTCCCCCTGTGTAAGTCAGAGTCTCTCGCTCCTCCATCACTGCCTCTCTTTTTCCCCTTAAATTCACAATTTCACAACTTCATGGGCTGCTGCTCATCAGAAACAATATTACCAAAGCGGAAAACACAACATGAGCAAACAAAGAACCATTTATGCATCCAGATGAAAACATAATGAATGAAAACAAAAGTGCAAATTACTGGTGCCCCCCCCACCGCTCCCCCTCCTCCCCTTCCTTTGCAGGAATGTGGTAGCCATACTGTTCAAAGTCCACCCAGACTAGAGAGAGCGAGGAGGGGTGGGGCAGTTGGAAGGGTGACGCAAGGAATTTGGGTGGAGTGTGTGTGTGTGTGTGTGTGTGTGTGTGTGTGTGTGTGTGTGTGTGTGTGTGTGTTGGTATGGAGAGGGTCACACACCAAAAGACATGTTCTTTGTCTCTGGAGACAATTAAGCCACCCCCACCCCTCCGCCATTGCAGCCTTCGTTTTTCAAAGGCAAAAAACGACCCATCTCCTCTCCTCTCGACCCCCTGCACCCTATCCCCCTCATCCTTCCTCAACAGCCCTACCCCACGTCACCCACCCAGTCTCACTCCCTTCCTCCCTCTGTGCCTACCTACCTAACCAGCCCTCCCCCTCCTTTGCCTCCCACACAACACCGCAGCACATGAACAGCGAATGTCAGCTGCCTCCTGCTTGTTCGCTTTGCAGGTAGAGGAAGACACAGAATGATATCAAAGTTCCCATCTCCTTCTCCCGTTTTCTACCTCACTGACTCCCCTTGTCTGGCTCACATCTTCACTCTTTGTTCCCGTTTCTCTTTTCAGTGTTGTACAGCACTCCTGGGCAATAAAATGCAGCAACACAACTGAATTTCAACATGGGCTACTACCAGAACAGGCTCACAGCTGAACCTTCAGAATCCACCCGGCCCTACTCACAAGATTTGATGATTACAAGATTATATTGGTTTAAAGGCCACCAGAATGGTCCCTCTGAGGAAACATATGCATGAGATCGGATGTTCTTGACCCATAGATTTCTTTGGTATAAAGTAAACAGACTAGTCAGGTTGATAAATATGATACTTATTTATATTATTTCTTATATTCTAGTATTTTCATAGTTTTGCCCATTGTTCCTTTCATTGCAGTTCACCAAGATAATTTGTTAGATCTGGAAACATTACTAAAAAGTCAGACAGGGCAGGAAACAAACCCCTGAGTTAGCAAAACGTAACTGGAAGAGAAACAAAGACAAACAGTAAAATTGGACTGTTCTAAACATCCATCGCAGTTTACAGACCAACTTCCCTTGCTATCAACATTTTGTGTTTTTTTGGTTTAGATCATTTGCATAAACTACTTGTTTACAATCTCTCAGATCGCCTGACTAACTGCTTGTGTTTCTTGCCCCGATGGTCTTGGCTATAGTGATGTTGTCATATCAATAGAAAATGCATTGACACAGAAGGACACCGTGGCATCACTGTTTGGTGAGGTTACAGGTGTAACACTGTGAAACGAGCTGCTTTTCAGTATAGTATTAAGTCACTGTTCAATACCAATAGATTACTGCTACCACTTGCTGACATTTACAAACCATGAAAAAGTTGCCACAGCTTTAAAAGGCCACAGAAATGGTTTTAATATACTGCCATATAATTCCTTGTGATAAATGACCATGAGGGATCAGACTTGTAAACCAATCAGGTGTCAGTTATGGAGTGAAAGGCAGTTTGATTAGTTTGGACAGGCTGAAAGATAGGTGCCTGCGGTCACTGAACTAGCACTGCTTTCCAAAAGGTTCAAGTTCGGCATTTCACAGGATCTTTAAAGTACCACTTCATAGAAGAAAAAATGCTAAAAGGACTTTAAGCTTTTTTCACTTCAAAGTATTGTGAGCTACTGCATCTATTAGAAATCATCAGGAAAAGGGGAAGTGAAGAGGAGAGCATAGACTTTGCATAGACACAACATACTGTCAATTTGAATTTATCAAAATATTAAAAATGGCCCTGAAAAGTATATATAGTACTCTTATAACTGAATACATTCACTTTGGAGAATGATGAGGTATGAGAGCATCTTCATGCTAGTTTGTGTGCTGGAGAATCTTCTAGATGTTTCCGAGAGTCACTGCCTCCATCGTTTACATTCCTGAGTCGAGGCAACGCTGGTTTAGATTAGGAACCACGGTGAACTAAACTGACTTTACAGAGGGACTTTACTGCAGTTTGTCAAAGGGGTGGAGGCCTGTTTTGCCAGCTTGACTGAGTAAATGTCTAGCTTCCTCTCATGTTTACTCAGCGATGGATTACACCTCCTTCAACCTTTCCGTTCACCATTGCCTAACGGGAATTGAGTGGATTGCATTTAAAGTGGTCCAGATTAACTGCTGACATGATGACAGGACAAACTCTGACTTTAGAGAGTGGTTTTATATAAACCACTTCTTTTTCACTGGTTCTTCAGTATTGATTACCTTTTCACGCACTGATTAATCTTAGTGTCAGAGAAGGTCAGGGCACTTGAGCAGCAGAACTTATTTTGAGTAGACGCTCAGGTACAAGTAAAAAAAAAAAACAAAACACGGATTATTAGTTACTCAGCAACCAGAAAAAACACTGTAAGCTCCCATAATGAGATATCTAGAGACTTTCCCCTACAAAATATTAGAGGGTGAAATCAGCTGTTGAAACATTGACAGATGCATTTCAGTCAGTGACATTTTTCAACATATGTAACTTTTCTTTCTCCAGAAGTTTTCTCATTTAAGTGGGAATATCAATCATCTGGCACATATGGAAAGCTTCCAAAATGACAAAGATAGACAGACGGCAAGTCTAACATACCACTAACCACAAACACACACCATATCCCTCGAGAGACACACTGTACTCTTCTGAGACAGAGAGCTCCCCATAAATGATAGTGTGGGCAAGAGTGACAGAACCATGGAAGAATAATGACGGGTGTGACAGTCAAAGATGGAAAGGATAAAAGGGAAGAGGTCTAGAAATCTTCACAACAATCTCAAATTGCCTTCCTTTTCCTAACTGCTATAGCTTTGCAAAATTTTCAAACAACGACTCTGTGTGCTATGCACCGTCCCAACATCCTGTTTCAACATGATACGAATGACATTAACAAAGAAGGAAGATGGTCTATGCTGTTTTATTGTGACACCTTCATTCACAGTGTTTGACGTTACGATTTTCACTGGTCATATTAGCCTAAAAGGTAAACTGAGGCCACAATGCCAAACAGCATCCAGTCCGTGCTGTGGTGGTGCTAAAGGCAATTTAGTAAAGGGACTAAAAGCAGTATTCAATTAATAGTCTTTGTAGTAGTAGAAGCATTAATAGTAACAGTAAAAGCCAATCATTTGATTTAAATAACTGGAACTGTTGGTCAGAGAAAGACGTGCCATTACTTGAAAAAAGAGTCAAGGTTAAGTAGCCTATTGAAAATTGCTATAGATGAATATAGAAAGGATGGAAGCTGTTTTGAGGCATCATATATTGTCAGCATGGTTTGGACTTAAATGTAGCGGTATGTAATGTTTAGCGGGTTAGCTTGTTAGCATGCTCATATACAAACAAGCCCGCCTGGCTCCAGACCTCTGAATTGCTGCCAACATCTCAGTAATTTTCAGTGATTCAAATAGGTCTGGTTTTGCATTCATTGGTGGCTGTTTCCACAGCCCCTGCACTACAGGTACATGTAGACAGAATGTAATTGTGTGAACAATAAAGTGAAAACAAACTGTCATATCAGTCTGATTATCAGGCTACTCACAAGTTGTTGGATGGTCTTGAACTGTTTCATGTTTAGTATGTTAATGTTGTATGTTAATGTTTACCTGTGATTAGCATATTCACATTAAAGGGTCATTTCGTTCTGTTTTTATATATTTTGGGGTAGAAATGACCAGTAGGTACAAAAGGTTTTGGAATGCAGTAGATGTCGCTCAAGGACAATTCTCGCTCTGAAATTTCATAAGAGGCAAGTTGCTGCAGGAAGACGCCGGTGGAAATGTGAGTCAGTATTGCAGACCGACTGCTAGCCAGACTATTTCCTAATGTTACTCCCACACAACAAACCCCTCTCTCCAACTCTGACTCATGTGTCCACCGGCGCCTTCCTGCAACAACTCACCTCTCATGAGATTTCAGAGTGAGAATTATCCTTGAGCGAGACTTCATTTTCTTGTTCAAAACAAAAGGTGTTACCAAGTGTTACTTATAGGGATACTTTCCATGATGTTGTCAGACACCTGGTGTAACAGAGGCACTTTTTGTGGACGTAGTTTTGATGGGCGCAGTTGCCCCAAAGAAATATACTGTAGGCACTGCAGCAGGTTCGCGACTGCCGACTGAAGCAAGGATTCCAAACCTTTTTGTACCTACTAGTAATTTCAACCCCAAAATCTGTGAGAATAGGGCCCAGGTTTTAAAATACCAAAATTACCCTTTAATATAAATCTCAAACTACAGCTGAGACTGATTTTAGACTGATTTTTAGAGGATTCCTATCACACATTTAACAATTGGACAAATGGAAGTTCCAATCCACAACATGAAAAGTTTGACAATAGCATTGCCACCACTAATGTGACAAAAAGTAGTAGCAGTACTGTAGTAGTGCAGTAGTAACAGATCAGTTACACCACTATCCCCCCCTTACTGGAAGTTTTCATTGTACCACTCACCAGATCCTTCTGAGCGCCCATCACTGCCTATGAGCGGCACTGTAATGGCTGCCGTGGCGACGCCGTCAGGAGGCATGGTGGTGTAGACAACAGGCAGCGACTGCACCACCACGGGAATGGTCTGGAGCTGGCCCACCTTGCTGGGCATGCTGACCGAGGGGATTGTATGGATAACGTGGAGGATCTGTTGGCCCCCGGCACCTTGAGTGGCCAAGATAGAGCCTGGAGAGAGGACCTATAGGGGTAAGAGAAGGAGAATATGATTGGTCACGCCAAACCTGCAGAGTACAACAGCTTCAACGGAGGAGGTAGGAGTTTGTAGTTACCATGGAGCCTATCGATTGGACCGCAGATGGGACCGGTGTAGCCGACAGGCTGGGCTGGGTCACGGCACCGCTGGGTGCAGGGTTGACTGTGGTGCTTGTTGTGGAAGCAGGGAGCGAAGAGGAGCGGGGCTTGTTGAGTGACAGGTCAACAGGTTCGGTCTGGTCCTCTGCAGGGCATGGCTGAGGTGAAGAGGGCTCTGTCTTGCAAACTGGCGGCTCCGTCTTCACCTTCAGGTCTGTTGGCTGCGAACAGTTGTCACCTTCATCTGCCTGCTAGAAAGCAAAGGGAAATAAGAGAAATTTAGAAAGCGGATTATACTTTGGCTAGAACCTGAAACTGATATTTTGTGGACTTTGATGACCATGTTCGTGACAGAAAAGGAAAACAAAATTACAAACATTTAAAATTTTAGAAATATATATTTCGGGGTATAAAAGCCCCTAAAGACCATTTACATCAATATGATATACTCTGAAACTCCTGCTGATGAGACCGTTGGTGAGTCCATACATCAGGGTGTGGCAGGTCTTATTCCAGCTTTTACATAATGACTTCTGCACTTCGCTGAGACAACTCATATCCTCAACTCATATCCTCAACTCATCTTTCTATTCTTAAGGACAGCATAGACCTAATTTTATTGGCAAACCGATGAATTAATTAGACTGGTGTAATCACAGTTAAGTGGAGCGTGCCAAAAAATGCTGACACATGCTGCTTTATTGTTTGAAAAGCCAGCAGGAGCCAAACAATCCACCAAAAATTAGTTCATCTTTTTTCTTTTATGCAGTGAGACTGAGCTGGAGACACACTGCCAATGGCAACACAGCAGCAAAGGTTGTAAAGACTTCTGTCACTGCCTGATACCCAGCCACCTGGCTGTTTCATTGCAGTGGCAATGGGAGTAATGCCAACACTTATTCATCTATATTATAGAAGTGCAAAGTAGGAGGAAGTTATTTCAGATGTTCAGGGTTCCAGAAGTAAAAAGTCCCATTCATTTTCTGCACAGACGGTTTTAGGTGGCTGTTGGAGCACTTCAAGGCTTGGATGGACAAGAAACTCTACTCATTTATCCATCAGTACCATCATCTTTAGGATATATCTGGTACAACTTCAACTCCCAGGGTGCATTTTGGTACAAAGCACTCGTTTACAGAATTCAAGCATAGAGTTAGTTCAGGCAGGCAACAAAGTCAAGCTCAGCTCACAATCCCAGTACATCAGCTGATAAGAGCCCACATCAAGTCAAGCCCACATCAGCTGACAGCTCAGCTGACTTGTCTCTTAGCATTCATTGGCAAGGCCATCCAAGGCACCTTGGTTAAGCTGCTCTAGCCAGGCTATCCTTGCTTCTTTCTCTGCGAGCCGCTTGTAACCCACTGCCAACCTAGCTCTTCCTTTTCTCCTGACCAAAAAACAGATTTCTGTATTTATTGATGCTGCTCTGTTCTGTTTCCTGGAGGTTTGGGGGGGGGGGGGGGGTCTTTGCTGCTGTTTCTCTCGCATGCCTCAGGCTTTCTGTGTATGCACATGGAGGCATGGGGGTCCCGAAATGGCCACACCACCAAACAACTACTGCAAGCAAATAGTCATTGATAAAGTTGTCCAGACTGAACTTGCTTTGCTGCATTCCCCACTAACGGCTAGGGAAAGCTAAAAATTATGCTTTGTCTCATCTAACATTCAGGGGTTTCATATAGCACAGTGTTTTGTTAACACATGCAAAACAGCACTAACAGGAATGTTCTCCATAACAACTGCTGCTGATGTCTCAGAAACACAGAGGAAAAAATTCAAATTGATGGCTGTAACATAAACCTATCACTGTATATTGTTAAATCATCCATGACAGTCGTGTGTTTCTCTGTTGAGGAATATTGCGGATATCATCAGCAGAGCATTTCCAGAGGGGAACAATACTTCTGAAACCAGCTCAACCCCATACATACTGCATATCTTATCAAGGCGTGAACTCATTTTCCAATCCACTAGGACTGACTACATTTGCTTGCAAAGCTTGCTTTGAGGAACTGCTTCATCCTGGATCTATGCTTTCATATAACTTGCCATCAGGCCTTTTTGTGTTATGGCCTAGTTTTCTCAGCCTTCTCAGAGGAACGGAGCACCCCATTCGCCTCTACAGCCACCCAGGGCTCAGCTGCCATGTAGCTCGAAAGCACAGAAAACAATGGCGGCTGTGTGGGACACTGGGGGGAGGTGAGAGACAGAGAGAGAAGGGCTGGACGGGTATAGAGCGAGACTGGTACTGACTGAGAGTGAGAGAGTAAAAAAAAAAAAATAAGAGGAAAAGTGAGCAGCAAGCCTCAGTGCAGGAGTTGGCCTCCATCCAGTTCAGCTTGGCTCTGGGTGAGGAGGAGAGGGTGGAGACTCCGCTACGCCCTTTTATCGGGTCACACAGTTCAGCTGGAGGCTGGGCTGTGTGACAGTAGACGAAGGAACAAGTACAAAGGTTGGTAAACATCTACCTGCAGTCAACTATCATTACATATGCAAATAACCACCGTTAAAAGAGCATACCAGTGGATTTGCATGTTTTAAAGTGCTACAGGTCACTACATGTCACTTTTAGTGTGTAGAAAGAACGCCAGGCAGCAATTTCAGTCTTTTGTTTCTTCACTCAAAGAAATTTGCAGAGGATTTGAAATTGCCTGTGATTTCAGTAAACAACTGAACCACCTTTTTTTTTTTTTTTTATTCGGACATGTAAAGCAGGCATGAGGAGGAACAACTTTAACAGGCAAATAGGAAAGGGAAGGGGAAGGGGGAAAGGAAATGAATGTAAAGGAAATGTATTTTAATTTATAAAGAGTCAATTCATACTAGGAGTTCTCATTGTACTTGAAATTATCTCCTTATCTCCCCCTCCCTCATCTCCTTCTGTTGGCTTTCCAGCGAGAGAGGAGACGAGGGAGGAGAGAGGGGGAAAAAGGGAGATCAGAAACCAAACGGAAGAGGGGCCATAAAATGATCGTAGACACAGCCCCCCCCCCAAAAAAAAATGAAGTGTGAAAGTAGTGACGAGAGAGAAAGAGATGAGAGTGAAAGAGAGTGGGTGGGAAAGGCCTAGCGTTGCCATGGAAACTGGGAACTATCAGCTGACTCCATGTTTTCCACTCGTTCCCCACCCACCACCAACTCCCTTCCCTTCCTCTCCCACTCTGTTCATCTTTCCATCACTTCACCCAAACCTCTTTCTCTCTAAACCGGATATTTTCTATCTCTCTCCGTCTTGACCACACCTCTGTCACCTTTCTCTCCCACCCCCCACCTCCCCCCTCCACCATCTCTGGCTCGTTACATCAGCCACACCCTTGTTTTCTTCCCACCTCACCCTCTCATCGGCTTCAATTCCACCCACTCACTCTTGTGTTTCTCTGTCTTTCATTCTCTTCAACAACCCCCCCGCGCTCCTCTCCTCTTTTCCTCTTTTCACGGTTGCTCAGATTAAACCCACAACTCTTTGCAAAATCCCCAAAAGAAGAGGCTGAGAAGCTGAACTCCACTAGAAAAAAAGAAAAGAGAAACCTCGCTGGACTCTCAAGCTCTGTGATCTGAGAGACAGAATGAGGATGAAAAAATGAGGGAAGATGGAAAGAGAGAAACTTTCTGATATATGGAGTTATTAGCTCAAAAAGGAGGATGTATAACAGCTCATCTTCTCTGCCAGGTATACACAAACCACTTCAGCCAGCAGCTTTATGCCCAACCCACATCGGCAAACAGGCCTTTTTAAGTTCTTAATGTGAAAGATATTTAAATGGCAATTAATCTGAAGGCCAAGGTTTGAGAGGATTCAAGGTTAAAATTGTAAGCATAAGAGATCTTTTGAGCCCAGAAGAAGAAATTATTCAAATTTTAAGTATTAAAAGGTGTTACAACCTCAGAAACACGTTGTTTTTATTAAGTAAATTGCTAGTTACCTTCATTTTACTACAATGCAGCACTGTCAGTTCAATGGCTAGACAATGCTTCCTCACCAATCTTGATTCGAATATCAACACGCAGACCATCTGCCTCTGTCTTCAGTTCAGTTTCAACACAAAGGCGAGAAAACTGAACTTCACTTGAAAGTACATCCTAACCTTTAACTTGCCCTGAAGTAAAATGCATTTGCATTGTTTGTGAGTCAGATAACAACAGCACAGGGCCATAAAATAACTGTGTCTGAAACAATCACAACAATCTGTCAGGGCTGGAACACAATTCACCTTAAAACAATAAACTCGTCGTGTCTAAATGCAACATGAACAACCCCTCTCTGAGCCAGGCGTGTTGCAGTGGAGCTCGCCAGAGTACTTCTGTTCTACCCCCTGCACTTCTCAGATCGACTGCTCCACCATAAAATGGGTCACCCAGTCGCCTTGCAGTTAATTCATGTGATCTCTAGCTTGAATGGAAGCGGGTAGCAGCTGGGACTGCAGTGGTGAAAAAGCCAGGCAGAGAGAACGACATAATCTGTCCAGAGGATTTTAATCGTGTGGTACTCACACTGGGTCTCCTACTGATAAAGTAAAGAGTGATTTACACTAGCAATACAGCTCTGCTAACAGTAACCTTATGTGCCCATAGAAGGCTGTTTAAATGGTACAGTATGTATAATAACAGCAAAATACACCTTTTTGTATTTTATCCTTCCTGTTTTCTCCCCTTTTGGCTGGATCAGAGGCACAGCAGCCACAGACTGACACGGGTCACTGCGTCACCGAGTCTGTTTGAGTTCCTTGTAATGTGAGTGTGCCATTTTAACGTAGGATTAACAAGTAACGCTTGATATGGCAGCCTTTCAATACCATGTTAAAGTCTGCCTTAATAAAGGCCGCTAGTTAAAGTCATATTCTCACTTTTTTTGTAAGGTGGCAGATATCTAATGCATCCAAGCCTCAGTTAGTAGAAAAAAAGATGGTGTGTGCACAATGTTAATGTTAGTTTGCCTGTGTCCCTTAATATTAAAGAGATGATAATACGTGTGTCAGGACTTGATAGACCGATACATTTAACTCTAGATTCAAAGCTACCTCATGCAACATTACTTAAAAATAAACAGCTTCAAAATTATTTTGATGGTACTTTGACTTTGACGGAGGAAGCTAAGAAAAGAAAAAGCGACAGAGGCCAATCAAGAAGCTGGACTGCCTTTTCGTTGGCGAAATAAAAGGCAAGACAGATGCCGAGTTGGCCTTCTTGCTGTTGGACTAGTAAATAATATTAGCTGGCTTGATGTGTCTTGAATGACTTTGTCATTCTT